TAATATTAATTTAATATTAAAAATGTTAGTAAATTAAAGACAGTAATTTATATATGGGTATGTTATATATTGAAGTCTTACATTTTTTGAGCAAATCTATGAACTAACACGAAGTATCGCACATACATTATAATCATCTGTCAAATTAATATAATAAAATAAATTTATTAGCATATTAGAAATTATTTTATAAATACTGAAGTAAATATATCATACTTTACTAAATATTGGCAAAGTAATGACACCCAGTGGACCCATGTTAATACCAAGTTTCCGACCACTACTCAGTTTCTCAAAATACATTAAAACTTTTAACCGAAAAGTATTTTCCTTAACATCCCATTGAAGTCGAGACAACTTTTTGTACATTTTATGCATTTTCTTTGAATACAATGCAATCCAATACTGGACCCCAAATAAAACAATATACACGATAGTCAATGATATTGTATATATTATGATTGCAAATAGTGAGATATTTTCAAATAACAATTGATGTAAAAGTATTAAGGTAAATGGAAATGCAACTATAATGAATGTAAGATAAATGTTTTTCCAATAGTTATTAAATTGGTTGAGTGTTTCACATAAACTGTTGTGATCTTCAATATATGTGTTGATTATGTGTTTTAGTTCATTATTACTTAATCCTCTATTGGACCACATATTTTCAATATTATTATTTATAAAATTAATTCTCAATAAAATATAATAGGATAGTATTAATACCATAGTTGCTCCAACAAATGAGTCCATATAAATAACATTAGCTATAATTATAACCACAAATTGTGATATGAATGCCACATAATAATTCATATTAGGATTATAGCCGTAAAATAGTACGGCATTTATAATAAAATACGTGGTCATTGTAGAACCTATATGCATGGAAATTAATTGCTAATAGTTAATTAAATCACAATTATAATTAAATACTTACCGAAACATAAAACCATGATAGTTAACCCTGTGTATATATATCGAGTAAATTTGATTAATTTATCAAATATTTGTTTGTTAATAGACCGGCGAGTGGGAAGTACCCGGATCTTCATTAGGACAAAAATCTGCATCCAATCAGACATACCATCGGTTATTGTATTTAAACGAAATTTAATATTGCTTATAAATCCAAACACCATAAACAAAACATAAATCATATAATTATATTTAGGTATACCGCCGAATATAAGTGTCCAGTCATATAATAATACTTTTGTTTCATAATTAAATTCAGTAAATATACTGATAGTATGATAGGTAATTAATAAGATATGGCTTAATAGAAATAAATAGCTAATAACTCGTATTATTGATTGTAGATTAGTATTAAGCCGTCTATTAATGATATTTAAATAAATTTCAACGAAAATATTTTTGGCAATTTTGTTATTAATGTAGTTGTTATTTTCAATAATTATTTTGTTTACTCTGTTTTTAAACATTTTATTTTTATTATGTTAATTCATAAGAATTATTATTTAAAATAATAATAATTTTCTAACGATATATTTTTTTATAAAAATGTCCTGAATTGTATTTAACTTTTATAAAATTTATATTATAAATAGTCTTTCGTAATAATTATGCAGTCATTAATATTGAATTTATAAGTTTTTGACAGAAATGTATTGATTTAAAAATGAATAAATGTACTAACTAATGTATAGGTAGTGTTCATGTATATTTAGTTAAAGTTTTTTATATAATTACTAATAGAGATTAAATTTAAATCATTGTAAACTATGCAGTCAAAAATCAATACGTGTACTAATGTTTAAAATGCAACCAAAGTACTCTTAACAAATTCAAAGTTTCCAAAAAATAAACTTATTGCAATTTATATTAATGTTTACATTAGTATCAACCAATCAATGAATTATAATGTTATGACTTATTAACTTATGACCTAGCTAACAACTAAGATTTTATATGACTCCTAATAACAACCAAACTTGAGACAAACTGAATTAAGTTATTATAGATTTAAAACTTTCCAAATTATCTGAAATGAGTGATACCTTTATTCATTTTTTAGTCATTTTCAACTAAACACATATGAAAAACGTTTGTTTTATCTGAAATCTGTGTTAAATTTTTAAATAAAGTTACTTATAATCCCATATTAATTGCAATTAAGACCTGTATTTAATTGATTCAAAACAATGCAACCAATAAGTGATGAGTTGAACGCAAAACTATGCAAACAATTAGAGTATTACTTCTCGGACTATAATCTACACACAAATGCTTTTATCAAAGATCTCATAACTAAAGACAATGGATGTAAGTATACATTATTTACATAATTAATAATTTCATATACTATTAACTACCTTGATTAATTAACTTGATTACCTTTATACTAATTAGGGATCCGTTTCGAGACACTAAACACATTCAATCGACTGAAACAATTGGTGGACAATAATAGCCATGAACTGCATGAATGGTTCAAAAACCTAACCTTTAATTCAGACTTAATTGAAGTGAATGTGTCGGATGAGAAGGTCCGGCGCCGACCGGACAGACCCCTACCGCCCATTGACGAGGCACTGAAGGAATACAACGAACGGACTGTCCATTTGGATGGCTTTCCAGTGGGCAGTGCTTACGAAGATCTGATGCAATGGTTGCAAACGTACGGAAGCGTTGAATACATGGAAATGAGATACAAGAAGACGAAGACCGGACAGGCGTTTAAGGGCTGTCTGTTTTGCACCTACACT